AAATCTTTCAGCTCTTCTGATACATCCCTATCCACATTCTATATCTTTAAGCTACTCCCTTAATCTGTTTACAATTAATCTTGTTCACATGTTATACCTTCCAACTGATGTCCTTATCTCTCTGCAGGCTCCTCCCCCATTATAAATCGTTCTGCTGTTCTGACACCGCCCTATCCACATTCTACATCTTTAAGCTATTACCCTAATCTTTCGACAACTTCTGTCCCCATTTTATACCTTTCAACGGTTGTCTTAATCTCTCCCCAGGCCCTGTCCCTATTGTAAATCTTTCAGCTGTTCTTATACCTCCATAATCACTTTCTGCGTCTTGAAGCTATTCCCTAATCTCTCTGGGCACCCTGTCCCAATTTTGCTCATTCCAATGGTTGTCTTAATATCTCCTCAGACCCTTTCCCCATTCTAAATCTTATACCTCCATATTCACATTCTGCATCTTGAAGCTACTCCCTAATCTCTCCAGGCATCCTGTCCCCATTTTGCACCTTCCAATGGTTCCCTTAATCTCTCCAGGCATCCTGTCCCCATTTTGCACCTTCCAATGGTTGCCTTAATCTCTCCAGGCATCCTGTCCCTATTTTGCACCTTCCAATGGTTGCCTTAATCTCTCCTCAAGTTCTGTCCCCATTTTATACCATCCAATGGTTGTCTTAATCTCTCCACAGGCGCTGTCCCCATTCTACATCTTCCAACTGTTCTCTGTCTGTGTCTGGTACTCTGACCAGTACGAGATCTACGCCTCCGCCATTCTCGTGGTGTCCTTCATGTCCATCGCCATCACCATCTACCAGATCCGGAAGGTGAGCAGATAGTTTTGACAGAATCAGGTTTGAATCTGTATCTTAATATTATTAGTAGTTTCATCCCATTGCATGAGAAATGACGAATAATTGTTTTTGATGTGACCATGGAAGCGGTATCTATCTATCTATCTGTCTATCTGTCTATCTACCTATCTATCTATCTATCTATCTATCTATCTATCTACCTATCTATCTATCTATTTAC